GGCGGAGTTTGATTTACATTCTTTCTTCATTCTTTCGGAATAGCATGTAATTGCTTTTTTTCCAATTCATTTCCATTGTCATTTGGTACAACATCTACATTTAAGTCAAAATCGTTTTTCTTGATGTTGGTGCGTGAGTAAGGTGACTGTTTTTCTGTACGAGCATTGTCACTTCCACAGTATAGAAACTGATCTGGAACATCCTCTCAGCTTCCATTATCAGTTCAGCCCGTGTTCTTTCCTAAACTAACTTTATTTATTTATTTATTTATTTATTTCAATACACTCATGGTGCGCCTAAATGAGAAAAAGAAGAAATAGACAAAGCAACTATGAACAAAACGCGAATCCAACCAGTCTCAATCGCAGGAGTTAAAAAAAATAGAGAAATAGAAGAAGGATGAAAGAACCCATTCCCCAGGCCTACCAAGACGTTCAATCAATCAAAAAAGTCAAGCTGCGAACGATCTTTATAGACTGTATAGAATCCAAATCTTGCTCCCTTTAAAATTATTGTGGCCCACCCCGTCATTTGAGTGTCAGCGAGCCTGCGGGTAAAGCTAGCTGACTGGCCCCCAGTAAAGATCTATTTTAGAGGGGAGCAAGATCTATTGAACATCTAGATAAACTTTTCAAGGAGAAGTGGCAGGGCATGGGGCTAGGTAGCTGTGATACAACGCCATCAGAAAACCCCTTGTTGATAAGACTGGTTGGTTCACGGTCAGCAAATATAAACATGGTCAAAACAACTACTACAGAGATGAATGGTACCATAGATGTACACTCATTCTAATAAGAGGCAGAAAAATTGAGGATAAATGGCAGAAAAGATAAGCTTCATAGTCCGTAAACTCAGTTTGAAAAACGATATAAAATTTTGTAGTAACACAAAGCTCGAAATCACGCCAGAACTAGCACGACGACCTGAAAAAAAAACAATATCGAGATAAACAGAACACTAAAACAAAAATGAAGAAAGACTAAGATAAGGCAACTTGCGAATATCGAGATTACTTGTCCACCTTCATGACCTGAATCAAACTGGGTGAAAATCAACAAAGATAAGAATTACAGTTCAGAACCTCAGAGATTTCCATCTTTTGGAGACCCTTTTTGAATACCCACCCATTTTTTGATGACAAAAGTTCAGTAGGTAATCGATTTAACCAACGGGCACATCGACAAAACAACGAATTAAAAAGACCGGAGTAGAATTTTTTGTTCAATCTGGGATAGTGGAGACACTCCATTCACATTCAATAGGGCAGGTAATTCAATAGTGAAGATCAGAAACAGTAATGGGGAGAGTACCCCACCTTGGGGGACCCCACTAGTACATTTGTATCTCTTGGAGAATGACTGCCCTACTCTGACTGTCATATATCTGTTCTCAAGATAGGATTCGAACCATTTTAAAAGATTGCCAGTAATCCCATAATTTTGAAGTTTCGACAAAAGTATACAATGCGGAATCTTATCAAACGCTTTAGATAGATCGGCATAGATAATATCCACCGACGTACCGGCATTGAGGGCTTTTCTCCAGTCAAAAACACTCTTCACTAAGTTGGTCGTAGTAGACCTTCCGGGAACAAAACCATGCAGTTCATGAGGAATTACATAGAATTTTTGCAGCACACGGAGCAACTTCCTTCTGATAATCTTTTCCATAACTTTGATGGGAGTGGGTGTTAGACTTATGGGTCGAAAATCACAGACAGTTGTAGCAGAAGTAGTTTTTGGGATTGCAGTCACTATGGCCTCCTTCCACAAACTAGGCATATCACCAAAAGCAATGGATAAATTGAATAGATTTGAAAGAGGTTGCGAAAGAGTGTCCGCACAGTTTCGGTATACTATGGGAGGAATGCCATCGTAAGGTTCTGTGCAAGACATTTTAAGAGATTTCAAGATAGCTTTCACATCAGCAGGATTAAAATTAATCAAACTAATTCGATTGTGGTTGCAGGAGCCGTACGTAAGACGATCATCAAAATCTTCTTTCTTTAAAAATACATCGGCGAAATATCCACCTAAAGCTTCCGCTTTCTCTGCATCAGTCCCACAAATATTACCACTTGGACCACGAAGAATGGGAAGATTAGTCTTTGTTTGCAATTTACGCCGTATATATCCAAACAAATTCCTTGGAGTTTTGCTAGACAATCGACGTTCATAATTCGACAGAAATTTCTTTAAATGAAAATCTAAATCAGAGCAAACCTTTTTGTAAAGGTAATCGGATAAAGGATTTTTGAGTGTTTCAAAGAGGTTACGTTTTTGGCTAATTAGCGCACAAATATGTTGCGGGTATCGGAAACCGAGAAAGCTACGATTTTTCAAACGTCCAAATCTACCCAGACCTTCATAGACTTTGGCGCAAAAACTCCGATAAAGCTTCTCCATAGATGAACAATTTTCGAAAATGAGCGTCCAGTTAACATTATAGAAGAATTCGTTGAGGTTGGAGTAATCAAAGTTGTAGAAGTCAGGAATAGGAAGCATAGGTTGGACTGAACAAGCCTCTTCAACGTGAAATCCGACGACGTTGTGGTCGGCAGAAGCTATAGGTGGATATATCTTAACATTACTTACATTCTGTGTGGTAGAAAAAATCAGATCAAGTACACGATTTCCATATGTTGGTTTACGCACAAACTGCTGAAAACCACAGTCAACAAAAAATTTGAGAAGGTAATTAGAACTGTGATCAAGCGATTTGAGATTTTCCCAATCAATGTTGAGATTCAAATCACCAAGAATAATGACAGCACTGGAATGAGAAGATGTCAAATTGACTAAAAGTTCAAAAAGCTGCTCGTCATCGCACTGCGTTGAATTAGGTGGACGATATATATTGATAAACTTGAGTAGACCGAAGCCAGAGGAACAGAAAAGTTCGATCGATATTACGTCAATCTTTGAAACTGTAAAATGATCAACTCTTTTTATGCAAATATCACCTTTAATCAAACAGCACACACCTCCTCCCACTCGTTTCTTCCTGTCGGTACGATGTATCGTATATGGCAAATCAAACAAAATTTCCGAATCAAGTATTTTGGGTGATAACCAAGTTTCAGTAATGAAACATAGATCAGGTTTTTGTCGGCACAAAAAGGTGTGGAGGTGGTCTATCTTGTTCACTATACTTCTGGAATCGTTTTAAAGGCCGAAATTCGTTTCGTTTTTTGAGGGTTTTTATTAACGTTTAGGGTTTAGAGACAAAGAGACTTCGTCGAAAATGGCGAGTCAATGGGGGCTTAGTTTTTTTCCAAAAGCCATCTCGTATCGAGCCCTGGTTAAGATTATTTTGCCATTTTTAACCATTTTCAAGGCTTCGCAATTTGTGGTTTTTCGACAGCATTACCATTTTGTTTGGAAGAGCAAATCGTTCTCCTGATAAAACTTTTTTAGCAGGTTTTTGTCACTCACATATTGCACGGTTATGGTAAATGCTATAAACTAGTCTAAAATTCCTCTTGGTTTGGCCGAGTTGTTGCTGATTGAAACTTTTTATGAAGAAATATGATTTTTCGAGAAAAACGTTAGAAAAGTCAAATATGCAGTTATATATTGGTTGCTCAAAAATCATAGCTTTACATAGATTTTATTCTATACAGTTGTTGCTCAGTTAGAAAGAATAGTTCATGAAGCAAAAAATGACTACTTCCATTTGTATTGCAAGCTTCAGGTTCTTTGCGACAGAGCATGAATCAGATTTACTATCGTTTTTATCTATGGTGCCTAATCAAAATATCCAAGTGCTTGTCAGGAAAAGCAAGGTCTTTTTTACCAAATAGAGTTGTATCTCGCAGATGCGTTTTGTGAGATTTTATAACAGTCTGTATGTGGGGCACATAATGTGTTCAATAACATGCCATTAAGGTTATTTATGTTCGTATTTTCGGGCAATAGGGGCAGATGTTTCGACAAATGTTTACAGTTTGATTCGCATCTTCACTGCATACAGCGATGTAATCTTATGCAACCTAGATTGTTATTATGGGATGCTATAAATGGTTTGCGCTAGTGACCTGCAGTGAAGTTGAATTATGCCATAATTACACTTCGTAGCAGATCTGCAACAGTTTCGAAAACAAATTCTAGCTTTTGCCTTTTTTCATGTATCTTTTTCATTTGCACTAATTGCCACCTACCATGCATTCTGTAATCGCTTCGTATCGGCCAAGCTTGAGGCTGTGAATTCTAGTTTTTTCGAGCTGTAAGACGTTCAAAAAGACCCTTTTGATGTCCTTTCGCTGACTGAAACGAGAATGCCGATCGTTTTTCGCCGTCGCTAAAAGTCAATCCGGATCCAGGATGATTTGAAACATTCTGCAATCAAGCTTCAGTTTTTTTCGCGTCTAAGCTAAGTGGCTGAGTACAAAAAAAAGGCTGGGAGCAGCTCTTTCGGTTATATATGGTTTGGAACCTTCTTTTGCTTATTTTCTTTGCTAGGTCATTTGAGCTTCAGTTGCTAGATTTTCTTTCTATCTTTTGCTTGATGAGGGTTGCCTCACACGATCAGAGGTGTCGGTCAGTTGTCTTTTGCATGGTTTGTTGGAAACTAATCTATAGTTACAGACATTTTTACTTCCTTTAATACTTGACTAATTTCATGATGATCGTGAGAGATTTTGCAGTACACTTTTTCAAAGGCTACAGTAATGGGACATGTTTCAACACTAGATATTAGTTAGAATTTTTTTCCCAAGTACTATACAGTAATTTGGCAAACTCGTAGTCGACACATCTTCAACTTTCCAGTTTTTCCAAAATCTTGTCTAGATTCTATTTTTCGATCTCTGGTGTTGTTCATGTACTCTTTGTACAGCATTGCCTAAAATGTTTTGCTGCTTGATCTTTACATTTTCTTCGTGCTCCAAATATCAACGGTCCTATTGTCCTGTTTTCAAAATAGTCACCAGATCTTTTGGTAGTAGCTCATGCTTATATTTTTGAGAGATTTAAAATAGTGTTCATCTAATCATTTTCAGTGGTCTGTCATTGAGATGCAGACTTTTCTCTTGGTGCTGATATCGCTGTCGATCACAGCGACGGCATGGGGTCAATGGAGAACCTATCAGGTAATTTTTTATTGCTGTAATACAGTATTCTGAGAGCAGCGTATCTACACCATCCCAGATCGAGGCCCTTGATCCAAAAATTGATCTCAAGCCCTTGTAGACTTTGGTAATTTTTTATGTGGACTTATGGAGTAAAAGGGTAGAAAGGAGAAATTACTGTATGTACCTCATATTATCCAACAAACTAAATCATTGAAGTCCTCTCGTGGTTCAATTACTGTTTTTTTCAATCTTCAGTTGCATGACTGTAGTTTAGTCCCTTTTTTTGAATATCTGCTTGGTTATATTTTTACTTCTGTTTCTCTCTCCATTCTTAGTTGGAATGATAGCTCTTCCCAGCATGCACTCTTCTCCCCTTTAGATGCCTCTTCGGAAACATTTCCGTCCACACCGTCCACCAATCCGCGTCCGTGTGGGGTACTTCGGCCGACAGGTCCCATAAAAACTAACGAAGCTAGCTTACAGGGCTCTAATCGAAATGCATTGCAAATACTATACTCGCTTTTCAGTTATCCTTTATCATCCACTTCGCCTAAAAATAGCTTTTCAGCGAGTTCACCAACTTTCGTTGTTGCCGAAGAACTCCACAATGCGATTATGCAGAGATTTCATGAACCCGAGTAGATTTCAAAAAATTCTGAAACCATTTCTGGTGCCTAGAATCGTAGATACCCCGCAGCATCGGCAAGTAGGCGAGGTTAGTTCTGCTGGTTATGTGGATCGTGAATAAAAGTTTTTTTTTCAGTACATACACAATTATTTCACAAAGCTGGGCTGGCACACAGAATGGGATCAGTTCCAGGTTTGTTTTGGACCATTCGTCTGTCTCTTTCTCATAAATACTACTGCAGGAAAATACTCCGTATGGTCGCAAAACCTTTAGAAATCTCATAGTGACGAATGGTGTGAATGCGCCACGACGTCTGGTACTGGCTTGTCACTATGATTCAAAGATCTTACCTGGGTAAGACTTGCTATTGAACTAGGACATCTTTACTATATATTACTTTCAGAAAGGTTATGATAGCTGCAACCGATTCAGCCGTACCTTGCGCCATGATGATGGATATCGCCAGAACTCTTACTCCTTATATGTACAAAAGAGTAGCCGCCGTAGGTTTTCTCTCATGAGTTTCTTCATTGTGGTAATGTGCTTTTTATGTGTTTTTCCCATAGTAGTCAAGGCTGTATAATTGTTAAAGACCAGCTTTCAGATAGAAAAAATCACATAGCAAATTTTTATGACATCTTTCGGTTGGCTGGAAGAGTTGGCTTACGGTTTTCTTGGGAGGAGAGACCGTCTTACACATTAGTTATAATCAAAAAGGGAACGAGTGTGTGCAGAATTTTTCTTTCCTGCGCAAAAAATGTATATCTGTGAAATTTTAGGCGTGACAGGTCCCGCTTAATTACCCTCTTTTTTCTCAAATTCGGTCGAACGTGATTATGCATTCACTACAACGAATTCCTTCAAAATAAATTTACACTATTTATTTCAAACATACTTTTTATTTCCAGGATGTCGCCCTTCAACTCATATTCTTCGATGGAGAAGAGGCATTTGTGGAATGGACACCCACTGATTCCCTTTATGGATCTAGGCATTTGGCGAGGAAATGGGAAACAAAATGGTATCCAACGACTACCGGCACAAACTTTGAGTTGAGTCGAGAAATTGATCGAATCGTAAGTTTAGATTTTTTTTCGAAGTTTACGTATCACTGATTAGCAAATACCTTAATTTTGCCCCTACGTCTTCGTATCCTCTTGAGTGTCTTGATGATTTTCGCTGAAAACGTACAAGACTGTGTTCACTTCACATTTGAATATTAGGATGTTATGATGCTTTTGGATCTTATTGGAGCTGCTAATCCTGGATTTCACAACACTGCTGGCTTGGGTGCCAACCGGCTGTTTGAGTATCTTCCAGATATAGGTACGTAACTTTAGTTTATATAGTGTATTTTGCATAGAAAAGACTATTTATTATCTAGACTACAAAAAACTATTTTCTGTCGATGTGCATAGAAGCGATCTTGCTGTTGCTTGGTACAGATGTAGTACTGTAGACTTACGTTCTTAATGTGCTTATTGGTGGCGGAGAATAGAGAATCCAAGAAATTGTTCGGCTTGAAGAAATTTGATTTAATTGTTAATTTTTCAGAGAATGAATTGCGAAAACTTGGTTGTCTTGGTCAAGTGCGCAACGTTTTCTACCCTCAGCTGTCCTACCAATCCATCGAAGACGATCACGTTCCATTCATGATAAGAGGTAAGCTCTGTTTCTTCTGGACGAGTCCAATTTCGAATGGTTTTTAGGAATTCCTATCCTTCACTTGATATCAGTACCATTTCCAAGTGTGTGGCATACTGATGGTGACAACGAGAATATTCTCCATTATCCAACTATCTATCATATAACTTCGGTTATTCGGGTGTTTGTGGCCAAGTATCTTGGGATCGCCCCCTTATGATTGTTGTTGATGATTAGGTTGACATTTGAAGTTAAGAAAGCCTAGGGGGCTAATCATTGTCTTCAGATGGAGTTAAAAGCCACGAGGCGTATTTAGGTAATCCTTTTCTAAGCATTTTTGGGTTGCTCTCTTCAATTCTTCTCTACCTTTCGGTATCTTTTGTTGAGTCATTGAAACATATTTTAAAACCTCATTTAAGCTTTTTTGGAGCTACAACGAAGTTTGCTTTGCAAATTTCCACAGCTATCATCTGAATAATAATGAGCGGAGCATAATCGCATTGTATTCTTTTATTCTGTCCTTATGGTCTTTGTCTTCTAATTTTTTCTTGCTTTGGAAATGATGCTTTATTCACAAAGCTCATAATCCACCTAACTCTTTTTTTCACTTAATATTTTTCTGAGAAGTCCGAAACTTTCATTCCTGTTTCATTGATTTTATGGCTATATATCTAGTCCATGATGTTACTCGATTTTGTTTGCCAATGCGGGATTTTGAAATATGTGATAATAGCATTTGTTTAGGAATTGGAAAAACTTTGCATAAAAGTTGATATTTGTTGATAAGGTCACATCAATTAGCTTCACTCTTTCGACGTCGAAGATACTTTGAAAAATAATGATCCCATACTGGATCACGGGCAGGGCTCGGCACGAGGTGGCTAGATGAAAATGGAAAAAACGAAGTCCCCCTTGACTTTTGCGAATTTTTACGAAGTCCCCTTTGACCCTCAACCAAATTTCCTCTAAAAACCTGAATAATTCCCCAAAATCCCCCAAAAAACGAAACGTCGACTAAAAAAAAAGGTTGCCGTCGCCAATTTTCCGTGTCTCTTCGGTCACAAAAACGAAACCCCCTTTGCTTTTCGTCCCAAAAACGATATCCAGCTTGCTTGTAAGCCACCTCGTGCCGAGCCCTGATCACGGGTACAGAGGAAAATATGGTTTTATACAATAATGAAGTTTTCTCATGCTGCCGCATCAGTATGATTCAAAAAAGCACATGGATCGTAGCTTCGCTAAAGATTTACGACATGATATATGAGGTGCTTATTTGAGCAAAGTAAAAATAAAATGGAGCAGTACAGCAAAAAACGCTAAATATTCGTTGAAAAAAATCAGTATTGTTGTATCTGCTGCTTCAGTGGCATGTTAAACTCGGCGCGCACTGAAGCGCTCTCAGAGCAGAATTATGCCACAATTCAGAATTTTAGCTAAGCGCAGATCAAGGAGGCTGACGTTTTCATATACTGGAGCAGGGCCAGGGTCCGGCACGAGCTTGTCAAATGACAAGCTGGAAATCGTTTTCGGCAAAAAAAGCAAAGGGGAAATCGTTTTTGCGGGGTCCGGGGCGTAGCCCCGGAAAAAAAATTGGTAGTGCACGTTCTCTGCTTATTTTAACATGTTATGTGCCTCAACATGCGAAGACTGGAGTTCGCGCGCGTCAAACCGCGTCGTCGCTAATTGCCGCACGCGCGACGTCGCTCAAACGAGCTATTTGTAACGGCATACATGACTAGTTCTCAATGTACGCGTCACGGTATGACACCAGATTTTGTAGGCGAACGGAGAGAGGTTAGTGGAAACAAAGTATGAAAAATTATGAAAAACTTATGTGAACGGGACGAGTAATAAGCATTTTTTCCAAAGATTTTGCAAAATTGGTAAATGAAGTTGTAAATTCAAATGGCTCGTTTGCAACGCGCAGATGACGATATGGTATGAAACTTGGTACGCACGTGGACACAAGCCTGTAGGAGCTGACTTAGGAGTTTCATTGAAAAATTATGTGACTGAAGGTTGTGGCAAAGTTTTTTCTGAAAATTTCCCGCTACCAAAGAAATGGAAAAATGGCTCGTTTGCAACGCAGAGGCGACGAAATCGCGCGGGATTCGGTGTGTATATGCGCAGTAGGACTACGTAACAAAGTATGAAAAATTATGAAAAACTTATGTGAATGAAGAGTTTCCCCAACTTATTTCCAAATTAGCTTGTCATTTGACAAGCTAATGTCAAGCTGAGCTTGGCAAAACTCTCAATTCACATAATTTTTCCAAAATATTTACAAAAATCTACTCTACGCCTAAAGATTAGTACATAGTGAGAATTTGGTTCCAAACCTCCTCCTCTCCTCATTGCTACAGGCAAAAATAGTCTCAGCAGCCCCATTTCCTAAGGAAAAAAGCGCGCTCCAATCGATAATGGCGTCGCTGAGTCCTATAATCGCATTGCTGTAACATTCTCTTGCTGTTTTCTTCTCTCTTGTTCCTTTCTTCATTTATACTAGTTTTAAACTGTTTTGCCTTTGAATTTAGGTGCAGTTCTTCGCAATCTGTTCTTCCTTGCTTTGCTTTGACATTTACTTTTGAGTTTGCTTATAAGCTGCTTATAAGATATATTTACTACAATCTGTTCGGCATTGTTCGTTTTTTTACTTGGTGGTCGTCGTTTCTCAATTAGTATTGAGGAGACTCTGGCTTGTTTCGGCTTTTTTTCATATCTAATTTGTGCTAAGCTAGCTGCTGTTTACTTTTTCCTTGTTCGCGTGTCGTTTCCAACTTTCTCTTCTTCTCCATTTCACTTCGTTTCGCAGCTTTCAATGCTTCATTCACTAGGAACGAGCAGTGCTGTTGAAAGTGGATTTGAAGTTGCAAACATTGATCATATGCTAGTTAGGACTACTTTCTTCCGCACTCGTTTGTAATCGGCGCCCAAGCTACTTGTCTTACGTTTTGATGTTACTTCTTTTCATTTATGATTTTAGGTAATGATGCGAAGGGTACTTCGCCTTTGGTGGCAGATCGCCAGTCCGCTATGCCTTCAGAAGTTTTGGACCGGAAAAATAACGACGCAGTGTAGCAATGCGGGATTCGACAATGTGCTGGCTTTTGCAGAACGTTAGGTAAACAACAGTGTTTTTCGTTTTGAGATTTTCTTCGTTATTTCAAGATTTTCATGTATTTTTTCTAAAAGTATTTCTATATTTCTTGTTTGGTCAGTAAATTGACCACTCCCATGTGGGTAGCACTTCGTTGAGAGCAGCATGCTCGTTGGCATAAGGCGTTGGCCACACATTACGCGATTTCAGCTGGGACACGATTTGGCAAATTTTTACTATCCATAACAAATTTTGAGCGCATTCTAAATGTAAAGAGGAGACGTACGCAGATCGAGCCTTATGTTCTGTTTATCCAGAATGCGCCTAGGATGAGTTATAAACACTTGGAGTATTGCCAAATCGCGTCACACTGTGATCGCGTGAGGTATGCCAAGGCTTAAAGAAGTCTCCAGACCGCTCGGTTGCGGCTTGTGCGGCCGGTTGGCGCTTTTGCGCCGTAGCCTGAGGTCAGTTTTGTCTGTGGGGCGCGTAAGTGTTTGTTCGCAGGATACTTGCACGATTTTTTGTTTTGTCGTTAACTTGCCGCTCTGAAGATTCTCTTCTATGGTAAAGAATTTCTTTGCACATTGTTTGTCTGATGTGGTACCCGGTTTTTCGCGTTTTACAATGGTGCTTCTGCGTAAAAGCGGCAACCGGCGCGGTTTGAAGGCTCTCATTGGGTTGTTTATACTGCCGCACTGACCGCATTAGGCCTCGGGCATACTTCAAGCGATTTGATCGTCGCGACTGCAACATTATTACCCTTCACTTCCTTACAGTGATTTCTCAAGGTGGGTCGTGCCGTGCAAATGTTGCTTTCACGATCACCATATAGAGATATCGCAACCCCATGTTTATTTTTTCTAAGCCAGCGATTGGGATGCTATGGACATTTCCCCTCGTCTTTAAAGTTCTTCGTTTACAAGCCGTCCTTACTGCAATCACTTAGCCTCCATACTTGGTATTTACAAGTCGTTGCAAATGTCTCACTGAAATCTTGTGTTCAGAAAAATGGTTTAACTACTTCCGACGAGCAAGCAAACAATGTCAGTTTGGCTCTGTCAAGGTCAACCCTTTAAAAATCTTACCGTTCACTATTTTTGGCAGATTTTGGTCTCACCATATGCGAAACGAAGGATAGAAAGTACCGTTTTTGCTTCTTTAGTAAAATCTAGTACGCGAATTTAGCTCACTCAGGCTGGTTGGTGTATCGAGAAATGTCCAAGGAGTATTTCCCTTTCAGAACTGATAGAAATGATCACCATCCTTGTTCTTTTATTTCAATTTTCGGCCTACAACCTTACATGGGATATCATCGAAAGCTGTGGACGGAGGTGATCCATTTTTTTAGTCTGAAGGTGGTGTGCTAAGCTCTTCATATCTAGATGTTGGCTTTGGACATCCATGGAACCTTTGACTATGAAGATGATGTGGTCAAAAATCGGTGAAAGTCTCAAAACAACCATTCTCTCGCGTGGATCGAGGGATTTAGCCAAAGAGCTCTATCGAAGATTCCAGGTATTCGCACTTTCTCGTTTTTGCCATGTAGGAATGATTTGCCGTTTTTTCTCTTTAGCATTGTTAAGCTTAGCTGCCCTACCAAAACATTCGGGCAGCTTTGGCTAGGTTCATACTGATACTGATCCGTAAGTTCCGGAATAGTTCTAGCACAGCGCACATTTTGGGCGCTGTGTTGGAACTGTTTCGGAACTTAAACATCAGTATGAACCCAGCCTTTGAGCGTTGCCGCCGAACCGACTGGAACCGTTTTTAACATCACGAAGAGCGCCGTTGGAGTCATTGTCAACAAGCATGTACGGTCAGTACTTGTTTTTCTTCTTCTTTTGGATTTTGGACACTTTAGCTCATTTCTTACCCATTCTTGCTGTGTTTGTTTTTGTTTCATTCTTCATCTTTTAATTATATTTCTGGGCTGTTTCTAATCCGGCTTCGCCCTGTAGCGTTGACGACCCGCGAATATGCGAAAACATTCATTTTTGTGCGTTAGGCCTCGGACAGAGTCACGCGATCCGATCATCGCGATTCAATCGCTACAAAACAAGTGTTACGAATTCATTGCATGCCGATCTTCTTGTATTCGGTTGTGATAGTTTTTCAACACGACTAATCTGACTAATTATAACAACCGAAATATAAGAAGATCGGCCTGCAATGAATTCGTAACACTTGTCTAGTCTAGTGTCTCGAATCGCGGCGATCAAATCGTGTGAACTCTGTCCGAGGCGTTAAACTGGCTTTTGGCAGAGGCACGATTATGGAACAATCATACTCATAGCCAAATTCTTTGTTATCTTGGAGTATGTTGTTGGCTTTGAAAGCGACATTTTGAATATGTATACTAAATTACTTCAAATCATTTAGCTGAAATTGTCGCCTTTCATCGTTTGATGGGTATCCAATTATGAAGCTGCACCAGTTTACCTCACAATTTTTTTCATTTTTTCATCAGAATCTAATGCGCGATTTCCATCATCCTATCGTGCTAATAAACTTGAGAGCTTTCTGCAATCCTATAAAATCCTTGATCTCGTCCTCTTCAAATTTTGATTTTTGTGGTAATCTCAGCTTTCATTTTACGCGTAGAAAAATTGCCGCAGCTCGGCCCCATTTTCGCTGACTAATGGTCCTCATACAGCATGCAATAGCATGTGCCAAAAGAGTAGTTCGCAAAGGCGGTGACGGCTCTATCTGTTCGTCCACTTAGCTTCATAAATTTGAAGTCCTATCCTACCGTAGAAGGCACTGCTGGCGGCAGGCGTTGCTTTCCACTGTCTGCTTTTGCCTATCCAACTTATCAATCAAATATTCCACAATTCCTCATTTACTTACTTTCGTCATCTTTGGCTTTCTTTCGTCTGTCTCTATGAGATTTCTCTACGCTGTCTACTGCTGAGGCTTCACTGCACCTTGTTTTTTTTTGAAAAGGTCACAAGGTGCTTCGATCATACCGATTTTGATTTCAAGATTGTCAATACAAGTCAGTCAAGATTATGTGATGATAGAAGAGACTAAATCTCTCCAGACAGCCACGAATGCTGAAAGCTAAATTCATAGACTACGCATTGCTTGTTTCCCTTACACTACTAAAAATGGAGATGTTGTAGTCCATACGGTTTCCAAAACGTTTAATTTTGTTGAAGTGTTGTTTTTACAGAGGACGAATCATCCCCAAGTGCATCAACATCCGAGTGGAACATGTCAAGCCCTCCACCTGCAGACAAGACTTCTTGAACCGCGTAAAGGCTAACGATGAGAAGAAAAAAGCACCTAAAGCAGCCGTACTCGCCGATTTCGTGAACGGAAACATTTTTGGATGATACGAATCTCTCCCCCCCCCCCCCTCCCCCTCACCCCGCCCCCCACCCTTCCTAGCTGCCGATGCAAATCATTGATATCACTCAAGATCTCTCATCTGATCTCTTTTTTTCTGTTTTGTTGATTTTTTCTTCAATAAATGTTCTTTTTTGGGTAAAGTGTTCACAGCAGAATCACTGGGACCAATTTTGGGGTCAAAGGGGAAATCGTAAACAAATTTTGGGTCAAAGAATTCGTTTTCGAAAACCCCTTTTGACAAGCTCGTGCCGGGCCCTGAGCAGGGCTCGGCACAGGTGACTTATAAGCAAACTGGATATCGTTTCTTGGACAAAAAGCAAAGGGGGCGTTTTTGTGGCCGAAAAGACAAAAATTTGCGACTTTTTTTCTGAGTCGACGTTTCGTTTTGGGAGATTTTCAAAAATTGTGGTCTAGGGTCAGAGTGGACTTTGTAAAAATTCGCAAAAGTCAAGGAGACTTCGTTTTTTGCAAGTTCAACTAGCCACCTCGTGCCGAGCTCTGAGCTGGAATATGAGACGCCGAAGGCTTGTCATGCAAAAAAGTACAAAATTCGAGGAAATGGAGAAAAAACATGACTTTGTTTTCTCCAGCTACGGGTGGCTTGTTAATTTACTACTCAGCTAAGAATGGTATACACGCTTTTTATTCAAATAGTTTTTCTCGAATTATTTCAACTCCCATTGCGCGCGAAAACATTTTGGCGTCAAATGATGATGTGTTCTTTGTAAGCATGTCATCTGTCTATTTTGGGCGCCATTATAAATACTCTAGTTCCGAGAGCATACCGTGTTGAGCTTTTGTGCTTTTTTTTAGAAGAGGTAGACTTTAAATATATCTAAAATCAATGCAGTGAAATCCTTTTTCGAGAAGCACAATTTCTCTATAGCAAATTTTGTCGAGAGCATAGCTCTAAAAGAATTTCGATTACGTATTGCAAAAGTGAATAATAAATAAACGGGTGAATGATTGTAGCGTTTGGTGGCTTTTGAGTTTTTTTTTGCAAATTTTCAAATGAGCAGTGGTAGGTAGTACCGTTTGGGAGAAGGAACCTTCTGATGTCGGGGTTTATTGAATGTGGTCTCAAGTACAAGCAGATACTTGATTGATCCTGCCAGATCTATATGCTCAAATATGGAGGTTAAGCCATGTTCGAGACAATTCTTACGAGGGAAGGATACTTGGTGGCCATGGCCTTTTGCAAAAAGTTGTATACCTAGATGCGTCTTGGAACGCTGATTCTGAATCTATGTTTATTATCTGCTGTGCGACTCCCTGAACGAAGTTATGGATTTTTTCCGTATCGGTTTTGTGAGATTTAGGCCATCAAAATCGTCAGTATCCAGCCTTTTTAGGCTCTGATGTATCGACAACAATTTTCCTGAGCTTGACGTGAAGCTTTACTTTATCTGTACGCTCTTTTGTAGTGCGTAAGCAAATATTCTAACGATATTGGTGAATCCTGCATCAAAAACAGTGCAAATTTTGGTGGCAAGAAATGTTCATAACTTCTTTCGGAAGAGCGCACAGCAGATAATGAAAACAGATTTGGAATTAGCGCTTTAAAACGCATTCAATGGTGTACGTCTCATTACAAAAGGCCACGGTCACCACCAAGTATCCTTTCCTTGTTAGAAAGATGTAGGCTATTTTTTGTCGAGTTTGATGTTCTCGACAGACGATGGAGAGCGATTTTCATCCAGCAAGGACGAGTGGTCCAATCCCAACTTTGCGTTCTTTTTTTTGTTTTTTTTGCGGTGCTCTTTGTGTATTATATAGATAAATAAAAATAATAAATAAAGACGGCAATGTAACTTACAAGAAGCAAAGCACTGCTGATTGATGTCATTTGCAGTACTGCTACTGCATATTGATTACACACTGGTTTGCCCCTCAATTTAGAGTATGTTTACGTTTTTAAAACCAGTCATGTGTTGTGAGCTCGCCTATACAACCACAGAGTACATGTGATATGAAGCCTTAGTTGGCGTGCTGTTACGCTGATTCGTGATAGTACGGAGTATATTGAATTTCCACACGTACCTGAGCTTGGCTGTGCTCAAACAACTGACCGGAACTTTCGCAGAACGCTTAGGAAAGTTTCGCCGGGTCACGAACCTCGACAGCAAAGACAGCAAAACAGAATACCTTAGCGAGATTCAATGTTGCTCTTACTGTAACACTCACTCACTATCTTCTGCACTAAGGATGACATGTTCGACAATGCACTCTGACTGCTGGCCTTTCTCCTCGTAAGAGCCAACACATTTAGAGTCCTGCGGAAGTACTGGCAAGTCAAAGTGCCGCGGAGTCGATTTTTCGGTGTCACAGCATTTTGTAAAAACCCTTGCCGAAGTTTCCTTTTTCAACCAGTATGACATGAAAATCCTGCGGGAGTTCGCTTTTCAACGTTTCCACTTTTGTAGCAGTAAACAAAATCCTGCGGGTCTGCTGTAAATTTTGTTTGTCTTACGGAAGTTCTGGCGAATTGCCTGAGTGGATGCAAAAAGGTGTTATTTCATTCGTAAACTGGATTCAGGGGTGCTGTAATTATATTTGAGCTACGATTTCGTAACAACGAAAAACTGGTGGCTGTGGAAGCTGTATACAGAAGAATAACTCTTTACCAAGAACCAAAATTATAAAAATTGGCGAAGATCTTTAGAAGCATTTGTTTCTGCTGTCGAAGCCATACTACGAGTAGGCCAGTGTCCTAATCGATCTAAATGTGCAGAATACCCTTGGCCGTTCGCTGAGAGCAAGAGCGCAAGCTTGAAGCACTGTCACTCATATAAAATTGAATTTTGCGGTTTTTGTAAAATCATTAAAACTGTAGGAGCTTTGCATGGAGTTAAACAGCAGCTTAATTGTCCTATTTCTGGAAAAGGCTAGGATTAGAATCAAAGGCGCAGTACGGGACTAACCACTGCATCCTCTGGCTTGGAAATCGTAAGATTTTTTTGCAGATTGTATTTTGTTGACTTATAAGTTTTTGCGTGAACTGATGTCACGAACAGTGCCGCTATTCTTCACGTAACATGTGCTGGTGCAGCAAATCCGTCTTAAAGGCAGTGTCCAGGCTAAACCTAACCCCCTCCGATTAGTGTCGCTCCTGAATGTAGGCCCCAGAAAAGGGGCATCTGCGTTGGTCCGGTCTTCTAACGTTGTCTCTGAATGGAGATAAAGGCCTGAAAGTCCCTGGCTAGGCGGAGTCTGATATCAGACTCCGCCCACCAGGGACTGCTCACTACCTTGTCAATACGTGCCTCTCGACACGTATTGACAAGGTAGTGAGCAGAAGCTGCACACTGCACACTGCAATGCAACTGCACCCATGCAGTTGCAGCTGATTCCCGCTGGCCTGCCGACGGGGACGAGCAATTCGAAACTCGTCCGCGCCTTCAAGACTGGGTCCCCAAGAATCGGGTTTTTTGTGAATTTTAGAGAGTTTGAAGTTCGGAACTGTAATCAGGGCCACGGAAAGGCCCCAGAATGACGAAAACATGGGGGGCCAAATTCTGGGTGGACGCTGCCTTTAAATCATACCAACGTTCTTCTCAGAATACCCTTTAAAGATTGCAATGATGCGGGAGTAGTCTTTTTTCTGCGTCTTGTAAAACTCGTTTTTCGATGGCATGGTACTTATGTAGGACAAAATTTATAAAAAATCACCATACTAGCTCATGGAATCATCTTATTGCGCACTTCACAAAATCTTCTGGATTATATGCGATTGCATGAACGACATAGGCGACAGAACAGGATAGAGTTCGAATGTGATGTAATGCGAACCATTTTCATCCTTTTCGAAAACGAGATCGCTTGCTGTATGTAACACTACCTCGAATAAACTATTGATATAAAGTTCGATGTTCACTATGAAGGCATCACTATTGACGATCATGCTTGGATATTTGGTAGCTTTTGCGGTATGTCGTTGTTCCTTTTATTTTTACTTATTCCTCCCTATTCATGTTTTTTGTCTAGTTCATATCCATGGTCTTTTGTTCCAAAGGCGGTGAATTACCTCCAGAAGCTAAGCATCAATGTTTGCCGATGTATTGGAGTTGGAAGAAGCAGTTGCTAAAGTATCTCAGTTATGCTAACGGAAAACGATTGGTGAGTTCTGACTAGCTTCACAAGCAATTATCTCCAGTAAAAATAGCAATCTTTACTAGCGGGGTGAAGGGATTGTTTGTAAACATGTAAAAAATTACTTTAATTTCAGGGAGTTGTTGGTAGCCCCTGCTTTTCTAACTATTTCTGCAAGGGTGGCTGCTTTGAAATTATAGCTTGCTATGTACAAGTGTTATGAGCGATAATTAGTATTGTATTCCAAATCTTCCAATGTCAATAACCTAAACCTGCACTATTCGACCCAAAAGTATAGCCTATAGTTTTTCCACTGGTTTTTAGTTGACATATTGAGTTCTTGAAACGCTACTGTCGAAGTTTTGACCATGTCCATGACGTAAATTACTTTTTGAAAGGAATGTAGATGTTTTGATTATCACTTATGCTAAAATGGCCGTTTATGTCGTGGATACTAAAGTCTACTGCATGACGAAGGCGCAGAAGCAGTATCAGTTGAGCGGACTCGAACGCGGCGCGTGCGTATCTTTACCGCGGTAAATGCTGCGCCTCATGCGCTATGCGGCTAATAAAGCCGCGATCGCGCACAAGGATATTGCGTCTTCGTCATGCAGCAGCCTATACATCATCCTATCAATCGGAACACTTGCGGTTGAAGAAGCGTTGCATTCAGAAAAAATCGACATTGCGCATTTGACATTCACGAAGAGGGAGCTTGGGTGAAACCATTTACTAACATGTTCAAAACAAACTGACGATGTGCTCTATGATCAACGAAGCAGTGAACGGCTTACTATCATCTACTCTATGACTAGGAGACGCGAGACCGCATTGCAGACGTGGTCTTAACAAGTTTGAGTTTGTTTTTCTCTGTTTCCGAAGAGTGAATAAACTGGACGAGATAAAGGACAAGCATAAACCTGCTAAGTACACGATTAGGCTTGTTTAGACAATGTGGGTTTTGCGCTCGCGTCTCCTAGTCATAGAAATGATACTTCGATTTGCAGATTTTGGCATTTTTTTAAATATAAAGCAGAGAGTACGCAACGCTATGAATGAATTTTAGAATGCCTGTCGGAGAGCATTCATTTTTGAGAGATACTGTAGATCTGACAACGATTATTGCAGGTGTATCAACCCAGTCTGATGAGAGAGGCGGTGAAGGTCACTGCAAATTTGCAAGCACCAAAATCCGGCCACAAAGATTTATGGATCGAGTTCAAGTAAGTTTTGTAATGGTTTATAACACAAATGAACTCTTATATCTCGACACAGGAACAATGAGAGCAGCAAATTGGAGATCCTTTACCGATTCCGCAAAGAATACGAGATCAAACTCTGGAAGAAGAGAAAGAATAAGGTAAGTTCTAAGATCAATCAGCTAATGAATAAGGAAAACTATTGACCATTTGTATGTTGATAACGATAGGTTGTAGTGCAAGCGAAAAGACTAATATATATTACTAGCCGGCGATCCCGGTTTCACTCGGGACTCCAGTTTAGCTAGAAAGAAGTTACTTATACTTATGCTTTTAAGCTTATTCTGCGCAAAAAGGCTGAAACGAATTACCCGCTTTTCCCGACATTGAGATTAAAAGGAGCTTTACCATCCCCTGACTACATGATCATAGCAAAATGATTGGTTTGAGCATGTCAAGCCTCATTTTCCCAGATGTAAGTAAACAAATCAACAAATCAATAGAAGGGTCTAGTAAATCGCCGCGAAAAGTAGCCTATGTTCCGCGCCGGGCTCCAAAATATAAGCGTGCAAAGTTTTAACTCATTTGGTCCACTCAGAAAGATTTGTATAAAAAACATACTTATTAACAGACAAACACACTTTGAGTTTTATATATATACAGGGTGTCCCAAAAAATGTGCCTACTGTTTGATTGTAAATAACTCTCTTGTAATGAAGTGCTTCGAGAAGCTTCAGGTACCGTATTGTAGAGCGAGGCTGAACTTAGATTTACGTATGGAGCGAATCATCGATCGCTTTCATTACTGTAGGGCTACGATAAGAACTTCCAGCATATGGAACCATTGTGAATTATACCACCAAACAATTTTTTTTTCAAAAAATCTGAAAAATCGTGTACTAGGGTTTTCGCGCATGCTGATTCCACTTAACAACTTTTTACGAGTGTTTTCAGCTTTTTTGAGGGTGTAATTACCTTTCTGACAAATGCCGGGAATTGATTTACTACGATTTACCGGGAATAACGTAGGAAAAAAGCATCATAGTAAAATGAGAATATCAAATTCGAAACCAGCGGCTCCCATTACCGTAGTGTAAGAGTTCCCGGCTTGTTTGGTCTTGTTCCGAGGCAAAATATAGCCTCCAATGACCTAAAATTCTTGTCGAAGTTCGTACCGTAATCCTACAGTAATAAAGGGCGACAGATGATTCGCTCCCATACTGTAAATCTAAGTTTAAGCTCGCTCTACAAAACGGTACCTAAAGCTTCTCGAAACACTTCATTACAAAAGAGTTATTGACAATCAAACAGTAGGCACATTTTTTTGGGACACCCTGTAGAGATAAAAAAGTAGGATCTGCGAATAGCGGCGGGTCTTCAGAAAACTATCAGTTGCGCAATTTGGCTTGATTTTGATTTGGGAAATATAGAAAGATACATTAAATTGTCACTTTTACGCTCATGTTGCTCTTGAAATGGGGAGCGCTCGTTATTACTAACCAGTGCGTCACCTCTGCTTCGCAGAGGCTCGCGCTGGCCCTATTTTCTGTATGCCTTACTCATTCTCGCATAATAATGACATTGAAACTCACCGAGCTATGTAGGCTATCACGAATAATTCGTAAACAACTACTCATTCGTAGAGGTTTTCCATGTGAGATCGGTATTTTCGCGTGGATAAAATCTTTCCCAGAAGCACAGATGCATATTCGAATAGGTTCTTGGGATTTTTATGGCTTGGTAGTTTCCGTAAGGACAATAAACATAGTGGGCTACATCTCTATACAAAAATCTTCTCAAATGATCAGGTAAAATCTTGAAAAATTGACCGTTTACACAGCGAATGTTTTTTGGCGCTGTTTTCGTAAAGTAGTAAACTTTTCATTATTTTTTTAGGCTAAGGTTTATGGCTTGCATATTAGCTTGTCAAATATATCCTTAGCTCTGCAAAAAGTAGTACTACGGACCCAAATTTGCTGGCCAGAAGCCAAGTGGATCCGTTTGACGAGCAATTTTCAACGGATCCACTCAACGGGTCCGCTCATGCTTTTGTATAGTGAGCTTTCATGCTTTAAGCGTGCGTTATGCAAAATTTGGGCTCAGGACGTTGGCTGGAACACGCTCTACGAATTTCGTGACAGACAGAGATTCACACACACAGACAAACGTAAACAACCCTTAGCCCGTTATTATAAGTTACCAGACCGAAGTGCCGCTTCGCGGCACTTCGGTCTGGCCGTGTGTGAAGCGGGATGTGCGTGGAAGTTTGGCACATCGTCTCTTCTTACAGTTAGTCAAAAATGGGTGTCTGCAAACATCTGCTAATAGCGAAATCGGGAAGTAAGTAAAATTTCTATAGATTTTCCATGTTGATGTGAATGAAATATACAGCAGAGCTCTTCTTATCTACCCAAATGTTTGTCATATGGAAGATTTACAGCTTTTGCAAACATTAGCTTGCTGGGTTTAAAATAACCAAATCTGCTGAGATTGTGCAACTTGAACTAAAAGTATGCCATCCAAGTCATCTGGAAAACTTTTTGGAAGAGATTGAAAGCTTTTCTGTCACACTGCGCTGCAACCCCCCCCCCCTGTTTTCAATCTTCCCTGCCCTGAAGGCTTATCAGCATAAGCATATTTTGCTTTCTTTCCGAAAAGTTTCCTTCAAAAAATCTCCACGTTTTCCTAGTTCCTTATCTCTTTAAAATGTGCCACACTAACCATATTCTAGAGGTTTTCAGATTAGATTTTTGTCAAAATCTATGCATACCCAGCGAGAGTAATCTCAACCTTTCAAGCCACTTTCCGCTCTTCTATTACTTATTTTCCCCCAAATGAATGTTTTTCGAAAAACCGTGCGCAAACGTCTCCGGCTCCGGCCCCCTTGAGATCAGGGAAAAATCTGACACTCATTCCTTCCATTGAAAATGTCTGAATGTCCTAAATTTATCGATACGTAAATTTAGCAATATCAAAGGTTTGCGCCATATTTTGTTAGTTTCGTTTACCTTTAGACTACATATCAAAGACTACTCTTGAGCTTTCCACGTCAGGACCGCTCAAAGCTTTGATCTCTGATTTGCTTGGAAACGTGCGTATATCTTTGCCTTTGCTGGAGTCAAAGTGCAAATCTCCCTAAGTTATCCCACTCTCCCCCCCCCCCCTCCTTTCGCATCAAGTTTCTCTACGCTACCCTAACATCTCAATTTTGTGGCATTTCAAACCACATTTTTCGTATTTGCAGCATTGGAGACTCCATCTTGCTTTCCTTCAGCTCACAATGATTTTTGTACCTCATCCAACATGCTTTCTGTATTTTGACTGATGTCAAAACTGCGAAACCTTGCTAGCGGAAGCTATCCGGGCTCGCGTTCCTGCTCGCTATTGCGATATTGTAATCTAATGCATAACGAAAACAGCTGGGTAACCTTCCCCCTTCCCAGTTTAGCTTGTCTAGCAAGCCACTTTGCTGGTTAGGCTTCTCGATCAACATCATCTAAGACAGGCGCCACTGCCATCATAAGCCACGGCTCGGTGCATGTGCACCGGCACATAACGACAAAGTTGTTTACGTCCTCATCTCGCCTGCGGAAGGGAGGGGGGGGGGGGTATCTTACATGCATGAGTTATCTCTAGCGCTTTATTATAGAGAGATGATGTTAGATCAAGTTTTTTACATAAGTTTTGCTATACTTTGAATTTTACTGCAGTAAGTCATACACTCCTTCCGAAACATCGTTGAGGTACCGTAGTGCAAAAGTAGTGCAAAGTAAGCTCTACAAGAGGCATCAGCTTTTACCCTTTTCAAGTTTGAAGCAAATCCGAGAAATTTCGGATGCTCAGAAAATCTTGAAAAACCCTTACAGCTTTCCTACTCACTCATGCAAATACATTTAAAATATTTCACACTTTCGTATTCCACTTATATATATATCCTGCATTTTGTCTTCAACATAAATCGATATAGCGAAAAATTTCATGCTTTTACCAAAGCGTGAGAGGTCCATAGGATTTTTTTGGAAGAAGGTGTGGAATTTATCAAATTTTCTAAGGATCCGAAAGTCCATAGATTTGAGCTTCAAACTTGTGATGCACAGCTAGTGCGCATTTTCACATATCTACCTTCCCGTAGAGTTTCCCTTGCTCTATCGCATAACTGGTACCCTGTCCTCATTAAAAACAAAATATGTGACTAATGCGGTTGAAAGTCAAAGTGTAGGAAGACTTGTGTAACATCCCAATAGATTTTCTGGTAGAATGGTCACTAGCTGGCTACCGCTCTATGCTAAGCACCTCCCCTTCCAATATAGCGTTCTCATTTACACCCAGTAAATCGATCAAATCTAATTTTCTTTCGAAAGTCTGTTACAATTGCAATCTCCCGTTGAGTTATCCCTATGGTTTTGGTTCCCAAGGTGTGTGCAACATAAAGAAATTTGAGATCATCTTTCACAGTGCTATAAAATCTTCAAATCGAAGTGAAAAAGTCAATTGTAATATTTTATGTTATTATAGTCCAGTGGCGTATGAGGGGGGGGGACAGGGCCCCCCCCCCCCGAGAATGGGTCGCGAAACTTTTTAAAGTTACTTAAATGTGTTATAAAAATCTGCAAAGGACTTGTCTTTACTTGTAACTAATTAAAATAACTTTTAAAACTTTAAAAAATACAAATTAGCCTTGTAAAAAATTTTTTTTCGGGGCGTGGCTGACGACCCGCAAAAATTTTGAGAAGCACCCCAAAAATTCTTTCAGAATGCGTGGCTAACGCCACGCACCTTCATTAGAAAAATTTTTTTGTCGAGCCCCCCCCCCCCCCTCGAGCCGAAATTTTGGGTACGCCACTGTTATAATCGTATCAGCCTTGCACATTTATCCTTACTTCAAAACCGAGTAACCTGAAGTCTCCAAAAAGTCAATGATTTGGCGATTGAATCATCGTTATACACTTAGATAGAAGCTAGCTTTTTTGCTCAAAAACAATACAGTCTAGAATCTCAATCAACTAGTTTTGTTTGTAGTACAGTATCAAATCTATCGCTTTGCACGTATTGCAATCTGTGAGCTATAGGCTGCTGCATGACGAAGGTGCAATATCTTCGGGCGCGAACGCGGCTTTATTAGCCGCAGAGCGCATGAGGTGCGGGATCTACAACAGTAAGGATACGCGCGCGTCGCGTTCGCGCACGCTCAACTAATATCGCCATT